GTGTCGTGAGAGCTTTCCCTAATGCAACAGCGGACGATATTAAAACTACCACCTCCGTGTCGCTTTCACCGGTCCATTTAAAACATTATTTGTTTTGCTTTTCTCTTGCAAAAACACCTGGAAAATAATAATATATAATACCCTCTGAAAAACAATATTTGTCTGGCTTTATAATTTGTGTAATATATATTATATATGTATATACATATATATATATTTGTTTACTGAACAGCAGTAGCGGCGAAATTGTGTGGCGCCGGGTGCGATTACCTCGCCGACCATACACAGCGGCCACCGCCGGCCGACTGGACTGGTGTCGGTGTGATGAAGTCCACCCGCCGCCGCCGTCTCAGCCGACGGCCATCGCTGCGGCGCAGATGTTGCCAAATTCATTCATCTCTCTCGGTAGCGGCATGTCCGTGTCTACTGGTCCCATACCCCCGGTTCTAGTTGGAGTTGCCCGGCTGCGGCGTTCGTGCGCACGTATATTATTTGTGTTGCCCGCGAAACCGCCACGCCGCCGGGATGGTTCACCTCCGCGGCCGCCACTGCCCTATTCCTCTCCCCTACTACGTTTGACCGATTTTTCCGTTTAACAATAATACATACAATGGTGTGTGGCCACGGTACAACCCGGCCGCAGCCGCCGCATCAGCGTTATTACTATTATTATTATTATTATTATTATTATTATTCGAGTGAAGACCTCTCGACGACGATGCTTTTATTATTATTGCTATTATTATTATATGCGTGTATATATATATACGTATATTTCACGCTATTTTCTTCACGGCGAATGCCTTTTCTCTCTCTCTGTATCTCATCCTCTCGGTCTGCCGTGAATTCTCTGGACCCCCAAAACAACGACGGTTTTTTTTTTACTTATTAATTTTATTTTATATTGCTGTATATATCAATTTTTATTTTTTACCAACGTTCTTTGTTCACACTGTTGTATGCGTGTGTGTCGTCTGTCTACAGGTATATAACAATAATATAGTAACGGCCTAATTAACGTCGTGGCCATCGCCGTTGTCGTTCCACCGAAGTTTTGTGGTATAGTCTTGTTATTATTTTGTATTCTTCTCCTCTTTCTCATTATTATTACTATTGGTATTCCCGAATTCAAAAGAAAACTGCGCAATCCGCGATCCGTGTCTTATCTACGTATCCGTTCAAAGCATTAATAATAATACATAATAAAACCGGTACTATTATAAAAAGAGAAGAAGATTTCGGCCCCCCCCCTCCTCCCCAGCTGCAGCTATTATCATTCGAGTGCTTCGAAGTACCAAATCGCATTTTAAGCCTTTGCCTGTTCTTGTCGTTCTTCATGTAATCCAAAATCGTTCAGTTGCTACTTGTTTTGTTAGCCTTTAAATTTTCCTATTTGAGTTGTATGTGTTAACATGTATTGTAGTGCGGAAACAAAAAAAAAACTGCAGAAATTAGGCCGAATTGTTTCTCTCTGGAAGAAATAAAACCTCGTGTCCGATGGCGTTTCACAATATTTTTTTATTTTACTCGTACTGTGTTCGTTTGTCTTTGAACACGCAGCTTACGTTGCCGAAATGCCTACACGGCCCAGTTGTATGATTACCGGACTGTGGATGAATAATTATAACATAATAATAATATGTTGTGAACGTTTAACCGTTAAACAGTGTTTTTTTTACACGAATTTCCCACGCACAAAACCGTTGTCCTGAGAGTTGCGCGCATGCAAGAGTTTTTAAGTCGGTTGTCGGTTGAATTTGCAAATGGCACAATAATCGCGGTGTATGAGTTATTGAGACATTGTGCTGACCTACTGAATATTTAACCAGAACGTGACGTCGACGACAAAGTTCCTATCATTATATATTTTTTTCAAGTTTACAACACTGTTGCGGATTGAAAATAAAAAATGAGCTATGCCACGCTGTAGCCAACAAGTCCCCTAAATACTAAACTTAAAAGCACCTGATAAATAATATTGGCCAATATGTACACGGGCCCGGGCCCTATGATGGCTTACTAAGACATCTGAGTTTTCGCTGCGATGATATTATGTTATTAGTGTTTTTTGTTGTGATTTTTTTTTAATTTGACTGCACTCAGCCTATCGATCGTCCTAGTTGGACCAGGTTTCCTAGATATCAAACAACGGATTCGATAAAAATAACGCATGCGGTAAAAACGTTTTTACGTTACATATTGCTGTTGACCTTCAGGTTTCAAAGTTACAAAATGTCGGAGTCATTGCATTGTTCTTGTGCTGTTTGTGTGGCTGTGGCGAGATAAAATTGTAACTGACCAAGTTTTCATTTTGTATTTCACCGGTAAATAGTAAGCAATTTTGTTTTGTTTTGTTTACATACAGAAGACGAGTTCTAAAAAAAAAGAGCTACGATGATGGTTAAACAAATCCGACTAAATGATAAAACGTTTAGAATATTGTATATGTTGGTGTATCATCTTCATGATGTATGTGGCACAGTCTGCTGTACTTTAGGACTTAACAAGTTATTACTGTGTGTGTATGACATGGGCATTGTCGTGCACTTTGTACGACCTTACGAATATACGACCACTGCATAGTACACACCGTGTGATGATGTATGCTTAAGAGGGCGTCGCACCGCCCATTTTTAAGGAGTAAAGTATAGGCAATTTTTTACAAAATCTTAATTTAAAGGTTAAACTGTGATGTGTAATTATTAGTTCAACAACTAAGACTCTATTTTGATAGTTAATTTATTTTTTGGACTATCACAGCATCCTTGAAAGCGATTTAAAAATGTTTTTTCATCTCTACTTGTTTAAGCAGACTAAAAATAACTTGCTTAATTTTGTATTTAGAGTAAAATCACCCATTATAAAATTAAAAGAGAACAATATTTCGGAGGGCAAGACGGTGCGTTTTTATTCATTATTCTAAGTATAGCGCTCAATACATAGTTTAGAAATAACGACTATTTTAACATTTTTAAATGACTGTAACTTTTCAAAAAATTAATTTTTTTTTAAAAACGCACCGGTCTGCCCTCCAGAATATTGTTCTCTCTTTTAATTTTATAATGGGTGCTTTTACTTTAAAACCAATATTAAGCGTTATTTTTAGTCTGCTTAAATATGTTTGAACCACTGAAAATCACCGGTGCGACGCCCTCTATAATTTTAACGTTCGCATTGCTCCAAATAATGGCCGCCGCCTCTAAGGTGATCGATTCTGATCTTGGGAGTAATTTCCCTAAATTAGGTATTTACTTTGTAATCAATGTTTATGTAAAATTAACCTTGTATACTTTAAAAAACATTAGTTAATTTAAAAAAAAATACAACACAACGAAAAATCCAAATTTTGCCGAGACCGTGGCCACACACGTTTGTTGTGATGTTTATTACTACTTGCTAGCGTCGAATTGCGACAGCTATGTACGTTAGCAATGTTGTGTTATTATGCTTGGAACGGTGTTCTGACCGGAAGTTCCACTGCTGCTTGTCGTGTGTGAATTTATCACAGAAAGATAAAGCAGAAGGGTCACTTTCAATGTAAACAAAAGAGTGACGGCTATTTTGTAAAGTATATTTAGTATTATATGTTATACAGAACTAAAAATAATAATGTTTAGATATAACAAAACGCCGTCGCGTTTTAGTGTGATAACTGATAAGTATCTTCCCCGTGTTAATTTTATCCCGGGGCCAGTATTTATGTCGTACGTTTCGCCTTATTGTTGTTATTGTACGCGGATAATATGGCGAGGTCTATAATATTCATTTTTTTTTTATCATCGAAATGTCCCGTCTAACAGCGATTAGTTTAAAATGGCCAATGCCGACACACGTGTTGCTCCTAGTGAAGAAATACAACACCTTGTGTGTTCAGCGGGAGCGATGCTTGATTTATTCGTTTTTCCCATAAAACCGTCGTCACCGTCTCAGATTTCTTATTTGGTCAACGTGTGTTATCCACTACTGAGTTTCTCTGGATCTTCTTTTCAAATTATTTTATATTTTTTTTATGTCGCTTACTAAAGCATAATTAGGCGGGAGTTTGGGAAAACCAGTAGTTTCATAATACATTGACAGACGCGTTAGTTTTATAGTACTGTCACTTATTAATTGGTCGACGTTATGTTTACCCGGAAACAAAATAATTATCATAGCTACGCCTCTTCAAAAATTAAACATTAGCTTCGTCAATGTCGCTCACAGGCAAGTGTGAATATTCGTCCAAGTGCCTTATTGTGACGAAGTCTTACGTCACGGTGAGTCGCCTCTAGTGTAGTATTTTTCTTTTGCGGTTTTGTGTTATCTTTTGTTTTCGAAAGCCAAATGTTAACGAACAAATGAAAACCATTTAGTGTATTTTGTAATTGGTAAAATATCATCAACGCATTGATTTACAACTTAAGATCATTAATTATACCCACTAGGAAATAAGTTATATAACTGTAACTTACGTCCAATTTAAGCAGCTGGGTAAGATAAGGCCTATTGTTCTACGGTATCGGCAGTTTTTGAAGAAATACTTTAATAATTTGTCTTGCGGTAATTATGTGTAATCTCTTAAGGTTTTTTTATAGCCATAAACCATTACACCAATTACGTCAATTGAATAAGAGTTAATAATAATTCGAAACAGGTGAGACTTCCCTAAGATGGTTTCAAGTACTTTTGAGGACATTTTTTACATAATTCTATAACGAGACTCTTCCCGTACGACCGTATAGGCCAGTGGTCCAGTCCAGTGTATGGCTCTAAGTCAAGAAAGTGTTAGTATCTAGAGCCAGTTTGCTACAACTTGTCCAGTGACTTGACAGTCGTCCGGTAACCTACAGTTGCTACTTCTTGCCTACAGTTTAGATCTGTTCCGATGTGGATGGGCATCTGGTTTTAGTTTACCGGACGTTTCTTTTGGGGTTTGGCTGGGTGCTTTTTTAGTTGTTGTTAGTTTATGTTTTTTCTCCAAAATAATGATACTCATATTGGTTTTTGTTTTTTTATTACAGGTCTCCGTTAGAGGAGCTCGGCAGCTTTGAACGTTCTAGTCATTTTTACGATCGTGAGCGGGAGGCTGGCTATCGTGGTCGACCTCCCGCTGCCGGCTATCATGTAGTGTCAGCAGTCCAAGCATCGCCAGACCCGCTTCGAAGCCGAGCCCGTGACAGGACCGTCTTCAGAGCATATCCGACGCTCGTGGACAGGTATGCCATTTTTATATTATTATATCCTACGGACCGTTAAGAAGACGCTACCCATCTGGTTTAGAGCAAAGTATAGGCACAATTGTAATTTAAAGCTTAAACTATAATTGTATACTTATACAGTAATGAGGATAGTAACTCCTATGTCTATGTAAAACGTGATTTATAAGCGTCTACCGTTTTTCCAATATTAAAAACGTCCTAGCATATAGGAGGAAACGTGGACGTTTCATAGATTGTAGGTAAACCTTCAATGCAATAGTTACAAGTGCTGATCAAGTAATTGTACTTGTTAGATTCCATATAATTGTACCTGTAGAATGTAATAGGTATTGGGTACCTAATATTATGTTGCTGTTATGACGATGAATTTGTGTTGTTACATAATAAAAAATAAAAAAATAATAATAATAACAAAAAATGCCTACAAAAATATTTTTCAAAAAACCGTTTGAGACGGCCGCCTACTCTCTAAAGCGATTCAAAGGTCGAATTAATGTACTACTTCACTGGAGGATAACATTATCTTGTAGTAAATCTAAATCCAGTCGTTTTGGGAACGTTATAAATTAAAATTGAATGGAAATTGGCGTTGAAGGGTTAACAATACCTGTCATGTACGTTTTGTGTTTATCCGCGACAGCTCGATACTCGAAGCTACTTATTACATGATTTCTCATTTCGCTAACACGTCCGTACGCTTGTACGGGCATTTTTAAATTTTGCAAAATTAATTTAACCCACTTTCCGATGTCGTAGAGGACTGACACTTGGCACAGACACTCATCTTGGATGACAATACGATATCCTGTAATAAAATTGTGACTCGGACATCCAGGTCGCCCTACACAGGGTCATATTAAGGGGTACCTTTTTAATATGACTAAAAAGTAAAAAATAAATAAAAACATTTTTTTTTTAAAAACATGCTTTTCTAAAAATAGTAAAAAAGTGAACTAAAAAGTAAAACACTAATTTTACTAAAAGAATAATTTACCAATCAATTGTAGCACAATTCTTTTTTTTAATGTTAACTACTTTGAAAACGACCAAAAATTAACTAAAATTTTAAATAATGTTAAACATCTTTAATTTTTGATTAAAAAGAAGAGGGGGGGGGCGTATTCGACTAAGTCCCTAATAAATTGATCAGATAATGTTTCATATTGTTAGTTTTTTTGTAATTTTTAAGAATTCAATATTAGCGTGTTGTGACACATACATTTCATAATACTTAACTCAATGAATTTGGACTTTGTTAATAATAATATGCTCGTGTGGTAACCCGTGAAACCAAGATTCTGCTGTATTTCGTCTGACTTAATTTTCAGCTTCGATGCGAAGCTGGAGAAGGTGTTCTCGATTGTCATTGTTACTATGTTAAATGTATCGACGGGGCGGGGGTGCACTACTCTGCTGCAGTACCGTGTGTATATTATTAAGCAGCAAAAATTGGTCGTTTAAAAATAAAAACGTTTAACTGGGCGGTTCATCGTTGTATTATTGTTTTTTAACATTTTTTTTTTCATTTTCTTTTATTATCTACGTCGAAGAGACTGTCACGCTGTGCGTGTGTGTGTGTTTTTTGTGTAGTAGCAGTATTGATTTGTTGGTGTTTACGACACGAACGGTCGGCGGCAGCAGCATAGGATGCTTTCAACGGGGGTGGTAGCAGTGGTGGCGGCGGGCCAAAGTCCTGGCTCTTGCACAGCCCCATTAGTATTCCAACAGTTCCCTGGGGTTCTTTCGACCGTACGCTATTGCTCCGTGCGCGCTGCCGCTCCGCCGATTATTTCATTTGGATCTCTACGTTCGCTAACACAAACACGGCACGAGTTCAAAGTGTACAGCACATAATATTATTATAACACATAACGCAGTAAAAAAAAATAATAATAATTTACCCGGCGTCGTTTGTAATAAATATAATGATAATATTGAGTTAAATTTCACGTTAAAAAAACATCTCGTCGCGCGAGAGAGTAGTAGTGCGGTTGCTTCTCTTGACTTGAATTTCGCAATTCCGGTGGTGAATATTAAATAAGAAATAATAAAGACATTCCCCGTTCGGTAACCGTAAATTATTACACCCGTTTGGGTGTAAAAACGCCCAATAGAGTCCAAGCACACGTCACCAGCAACAGGTCACCCATACGCGTGTAGGAGACGTCCACTGTCGTCACAGCCTTTGACGCGGGATATTTTTTTTATTTCCCCCATTCGTGTATACTGATTTGTATCTGTTTGGTGCGTTTTAAAGCGTCGTCGCTTCCAGCAGAGGTCACCATCACCGCGTGGGCGGCTGGGCTTACGAGGCGACGGGCAACCCGAGGTACGCTCACCACCTGAGCAGTTCGCCGGATTTGTCGTACCCGGATGACAGAAGGGTAGAACCGCCGCTGATTATCGTCCGGAACAAACAACTCAAACCTTCCAGGTACGTGTGTCGACGAGACGGTCGCGGTGACGGAGTACAAAATTGCATTAGGTATTCATTTTTGTTTTTTGTGTTTGCCACAGCGAGTCCCGAGGTTGCAGCGAAGACCGTTGCGGTTCGCCGTCGAGTTCCGGATCCGGAAGCGTTTCGGGAGCGAGCAGTTCGTGTAGTTCGTCCTCGTCGCTGAGTCCTATACTGCAACCGCGCAGCCCTAGTCCAGATCCCGCGTTGTCCGATAAGTCTTCTTCAAGCCATAGGTAAGAGCCTCGAAATTACTTTATGCATCCGCTTCCACCCACCCTTGTTGGGTTTTATTTTCCTCGTATTAATCGCTGTTGACCGCCCTCCTAACAGCCACCATGGTAGCTCGAAGAGCAGTACTGTTCCGTCCCACGTCTCAGGCGTACAGTTACCAACTACAGTAGGGAACCTGACGCAAACGGTTTCCGAACACAAGAGGCATCACGCCATCTGTATCAGGAACCTGCCGTCTAGATCTAGTGGTGAGTAATATACTTTTTATTTATTTACAATAACTATTATTATCTATCAGAGTTGACATAAATAAAATAAAACCAATTCTGTAAAAAAATAAGTGGGGTGGGTTTTAAGTTTAGAAAGTTGTCAGGATTAACCTAAAAATATGATAGTGAAATATTTAAATAAAAACCTTAACCACAAAAAGGTCAACGAAAAGTCTGTTGTTAGCGCTGATACGCGTCTACGCTTTAGTGAATTAATTTTTGTAGTTTTTTTTTTATACCATTATTTTTTTGTTTTCTTACATATTTTCACTTGGTTGGTTTTTGCTAAACAACTGATCTAGGTCCGGTTATTACCAACTCTGGTTACTAAATACTATATCATGGAGAACACGGGTCTGACATGTTAATGTATGTGATCGTTTTAAAAAAGTAATGAAAATAGTCATCAATAATAGAAGTATTTACAACCCCAACCTACGTTCATTGATAAGCAGCGGTTTTTCAATTGGTCAATTACAACTTAAGAGAAATAATAAAAAAAAAACATTGATTTACCTGACCGCAATTCAAATAACGTGTAATATGATATAAACACTAACATTATCGGTTTATACTCATTCCTACTTTTACAGGTAAAGGTATAATAAAGGCCTAGACAACTATAATAAATGGGAAAATATACAATAAGAATATACCTGTCCTGGTTATAGTTACCAAAATGTATATTTTACTGCAAAATATGTTACATCCAAATAATTTTAAACTAAATGTACCACTAAATATATTATTTTTTGGTTAGATTAGAATTAGAAACCAGTACAACAATATTTGATAAGTCATATTAAACATCAGTTTAAATTGAAAGGAAATTGATACGAAATTTAAATTGCAGTTTCTGTTATTTGACTAATTGCTCAGTTAAGAAAAAAACTGTGCATTTATTCTTATAAATTTTATTTAAGTATGTTTAGTTATTATGTTGGCTGAAGTTTAAGTATATATCTTCAAGTTCAAAAAGATGTTCGGATTTGTTTAAATTGTCTTTAGCGTATTTGTTCTGATAATATACAGAAGAGGGACGATTCGTGTCAGTATAATCAAGAGAACCTTAGCCCTTAAAAATTATTTCTTGGTGCGTCTTAAGTTAATCATGAACTAATAAACCCTAAAATGTGTAGCAACGCGTCTTTTTTCCTTAAGAGCTCCATTAAATATAATAAAATAAGATCGATTCGGCTGATTACAATTTTTCCTTAAAAACACTTAAAAAAGCCCGGCCCGGACGAATAATTATTTTTTAATAGCCCGGCTCGGTAGAAAAAACTAAGTTTTTAGGAAGAATCAACTTAAAGTTCGTTTTTATTGATATCGGGTTTGGACCTGATCGTGTGGTCTTATAATTAAATTATATGTGTCCTTTGTTAGTTGTTTACCCATTATGAACTTGATTGAATGAAACCGTAATATTTAGAAAATCGCTTTAAATAATATTTTTATTTTTATGATTTGATGGTAGAAAATAATTCTTTTTGTTTATTAAACTTTCGAAAACTATTGAACTTTCAAAACTTTTATATACCTGTATATATAACATACATAGTAGTAATCCGGTATTCTAGTTGACCAATATTATGTCGCATGACACTTTTATCTATAAAATAATAATATATATTTTATTTAAATAGTTTCAAAATTATTGCAAATGATCTTTAGATAATAATATATGAGTAACATTTTATAAACATTAGTTTTCCATTAAAGTAATATACTCCTAATATTCTCATTACTACAGCAAATATATTTTATTATTTTCAAAAGATTTTTAATTTGTTTTTTAAATATGTTATATAATTATGTTTTGACACGAAATTTAATGTTTCTTTTATGGTTTTGTAACATGTTATTTTAATATGATTTAAACATAAGAAATATTTTTAAAACGTTTTTAAATTTTGCAAATAACATTTTTGGAATTTCGTGTTCAAACGTCATAATAAAATACTTACAAATATTAAGAACTTGTTTGTCAACACGTTGAAAATATTCAAACTTTATTGTTTTGGGCTTAACATTCCACGTCATACAGTAATTCCATATTTTCAATATTATATAGGTAATATAATTAAATTCCTATTTACTCATATCATTAAAACGTATTTAGGTCATATTTTGGCAGAAAATAGAACAATGTTAACAACATAAATATTTCCTAAATCTTATAAATTTTAAAATTTTACGTGCATATTATACAACATAATACAGATTTGTTAACAAATACAGATATATATGTAAGGTATTCTGAGTCAAACCACGCGGTCATCGGCCTGACCTCCTCAATTGTTTTGAAATTGTTTTTTAAACTTCTTTTGGTCAAATATAAGACTTTTATTTTTTGACATTTTCATGTCTTAGCTCTGGTACATAACCGAAAATTATAACGAAATTATAACGAAAATGCGTTACCAAAAAATAAATGGGGATGAAGATGAGGGAAGGGGGGAGGGTGGGAGATAGGGGTGAGAATTAGCTGTGGTGCATAACCGAAAAAAAGCGTAACGAAAAAAGTGTTACGCTGTTATCTGATATGAGATATGAGATAGGGGTGTGATATAGGGGTAGGGGATAGGGGGTTAGTGATAGGGGTAAGATATAGGAGATAAGAGATATGTTGTATGTTCAACGTTCAAATTAGAACTAAATAATAAATTCAAAATAGTTGAAACTCTCTATATATTAAACTATGTTAAGTTACTTTTGGCCAGATAATAAACACTACAATTTTAGCCAGAAACTTGATTGTACATAATGTTTTAATCTCCTTGGCTTATGCTGTAACTGGAAGCTCCATGTGATATATTTTTTTTTAAACTATAATTCCACAACTAATCTTAATTTATACGGTACTTCAACGAGACATGAAAATGTTCTATCGTGGTTGCAGACTCGGCTGAAAAATGTTTTGGAAATTGTTATCACTAATTTTTGCCCCAAAAATAGTGGTTTTTTAAGTTATTTTTCAAATAATGAAAATTTTCCTGGGTGGTCACTCATCCTGTATCAAGCAGTAACGGACACAGCTTAACCTCAGATGCCGCGTGGCACACTGCGTCCACAATATGCCTCTGTATTATTTTTAATGTTATTCGTAAGGAAAATTTTTCACTTTTTACTACCAAAATATGCAAAAAATCAAAATTTACCAAGACATGTTCTACTTATTTTTTTTTTTTTTTTAATAAGAACTGAAATTAAAAAAAAAAAATAAATAAATCTCGGCCCACTCTCCCCTTATTAGACGAAAAGATTTTATTTAAGTCTCTGATTTTATGATAACAATTTCAGAAGTAAAAATCTGGTCGAAATCTATTTTTTTTTTTGAAAATTAACATAAGAAACCTCTATTTTTAAGGCCAACATTTGTGATAAAAATATCAAAAAAATAAAAGTCTTATATTAGACCAAAAAAAGTTAAAAAAAAAAAAATTTGGAAAATTTTAAGGAGGTTAGGGCCGATGACCCTAACCGATGTGTATTTTTATACATTGAATATTACTAACACAATTTTTTTTATTAATAATAATAAGTACTTAGATTATTTTAAAATGGAAAAGAAGTTTTAAAAAAAAATTGGTGACATTTATATTAAATTTTAAAATACTTTTACAATCTTGAAACAATAGTAACGGGTTTCATTAAACATTATAATTTTGAATTATATTTTTGCAAAACTTTAATTATTTTATTATATTTTAACTTATTTATTTAATTTTATTTAGAACCGTATAAATTTTACGAATCATGCTCTGTGAAATATAAATTGACATATTGTTAGACATATTTCTATAACATTTTAGCACCATATTAGTGAATACATTTTAGAAAAAATGTTGCCTGGTCAAAATCTATTGTATAAATATTTTAAAAACTAATTTTTTTTTCTGCTGTAATGGACAACAAATAATTATTATGATAATTTGTTTGCACACCTTTTTTTATTAAGCTATTAAAATCGCATTCGATTATTAAATAATTTAGTCGATTATTATTAAAAATTAAATTTTTTTTTTTACAATAGACACTAGTTTAAAGGACGGCTTGTACCACGAGTACAAGAGGCACGGCAAAGTGACGTGCGTGAAAGTAGTAGGCCAAGGGTGCGACAGGTACGCCTTGGTGTTCTTCAAAAAGACTGATGATGTGGAGAAAGCCGTACAAATGTCTCACGACAAATCCTTTTTTGGCTCTAAGATCGAAGTTTCCGCGTACCAAGGGTATAAAGATGTCGACGACAATGAAAGCAGGTGTGCCCCTCATACTGGTTTTTTGATTTAAACTTTTATTCATTTCGTCGTTGTTATAATGTATGTATTTTTCACCCTAGACCTTATGAAACGGAGTTGGACGAGTTTCATCCCAAGGCGACCAGAACTCTGTTTATTGGGAACTTAGAAAAAGACATAACCGTCGACGAGCTGAGGAAGTATTTCGAACCTTTCGGCGAAATAATCGTAAGTGATCAAAATTCGCTATTCCCCGTGCGCGTTTGAACGATAATAGCAATAATAACAATAATCATCCATAACTATGTAACAGTGATAATATTAAAATGTATGATTTGTTCAATTTCCGCGTGGTAGGAAATCGACATTAAGAAAGGCAGCAACATCAACGGGGGCAGCACGGGCACGTACGCATTCTGTCAATATGTAGACATCACCAGTGTCGTTAAAGCCATGCGGACACTCGACGGCGAGTACTTGGGCCAAAACCGTATCAACCTGGGTTTCGGAAAATCTTTGACCACCAGCTGCGTTTGGGTGGACGGCATCGCCGAGTCTGTCAGCGAGAAGTATCTCGCCACTCATTTCAATCAGCACTATGGCAACGTCACCCATTGCGTGATCGACCGGTCCAGGGAACACGCATTGGTATTCTTCCAACAGGTATTTATCATGTCTTTATTTGATTATTCCCCTTTTGTTTTCACACACTAAACGTGCGTCGTTTTTGCCGCTTGCTTGCTTTCAGATTAACCAGGCGCAGTCAGCCGTGACCGGGATGCGCGGTGCCATCTTGAAGGGACGAAAACTTCAAGTGGATTACGCGTCCAGAGAGTGTCAGCAAGGGTTCTACGAACACTTGGACAAAACTCCCGGCGACTTGAGTCCCGAGTCGAACGGGCAGCAAAACGACACCACCACTCAATTTTCACCGTGCAGTACCAACGGCCTCGCTATACGGGGCTTCGAAACTCCATCGTCGTCGTGTAGCAGCGCAGCCGGCGACAAAAGTTACCCGAGAAATGCCGACGAACCGCGCAACACTTCGATATCTGTCCACAACCCTCAAGACATGCGGAACCTGCAAAACAAGAGGGACTCGTTGTTGGAACAGCTCGAAGAGTGTCCCAGTTCCGGTGACGAGATACTCAACGGTTCGTCGAAAGCGCCGCAAGCGACAAGCCGATCGGCCATGCCTTTGGGCGACGATCGGCCGTCGGAGAGCCTCACGCCTCCATCACAAGTTCCTAATCCTCAACCTAAACTAATCGTACCGATCTCCTCATCGACGCAGTCGTCCAAGTTTGCCGTGCACGTCACCAACCCTCTGCTCAGCCCACCTCTCAGTTCTCCGAGGAGGCCGCAGTCGTCCAACTCGGACGACTCGCAGACCTCCGACCCGGGTTTACACGGTCTCGAAGAGAGGCTGAGAAACCTGGACGAGAAGTATGAACAGTGGAACGGTTCCAAGGCGAACGTGGCGTTAAAAATGGACTCGGCCCCCAGATGGAGCGCCAAGTATAAGTTTATCGACCCCGACGGCAAGCTCGAGCCGTCCGACATCGTCAAGTCTGTGCTGGCCAAACCCAGCGTTTTCGACGGCGACACCAAAAGACTCGAAAACATCTCCGACAAGTACATACCCAAAGATTTCGTCCCGTCCAGAACGAGCCCAAACTTGCAGAATTTTCGAAACCAGCAAGTCGGCTCGTTTTCGCCGTTGACGCCGTCGAGTAGCGGCTCGTCCAAGTCTCCCCCAGCGTCGTCACCGGCCGCTGCCAAGACTCAATACCCGTTCCCGAGCGGCCACCCTCTGCCGGCCACTACTTCACAGGTGGCCGCTCCGCCCGCAGAACCTCCCCGGCCGCCTTCTGATCCGCGGCTGGCGATGGACCCGCGGGTGTCGGTGGCCGATCCCAGGTTGTCTGCCGATTCCAGAGGGTCGTTCTTAACCAAACAGAATATATGCACCATCAACGACAACAGGTACGTGCCTGACATTCTCAACACGAAAGACCCGAGACATCCGATTCACAAAGACGCCGAGATCAAAGACGGCCCGGAAGCGTTTTACCGTAGTAAAATACGAGACGAGTATACCAAAAATTGGCTGCACACTTTTGACCGGAAAGAAAACGAACCGGCGTATAGGGCGGTCGATTGGTATGACCGTCAGAGGTTCAGCGATTTCCGAAAAGAAGAGGAAGAAAAAGTGAAAAACGAGCAGATCAGTAAGCAAAAGCTTTTGGACGGGTTTGTGATAAAAAGGAAAAGCTCTGGCGATACGGTCGCTAACCCTCCTCCCTCTGTTCCGTTCTTTGGGAATTCTCATGAAAAATTAAAGAGTTTCGGTGAAACGAAAAAGGTTCCGGAGCCGCCTCCGCCAGTGCCCAAAAAATCCGAAGAGATTCCGTTCAAACGAGGAGAAGAACGTGTCGTCGAAGTGAAAAAAGTATTTGAAGAAGTCAAACCCCCTGAACCTCCACCGCTTCCTCCTTCTTCGGTACATAATTTGGACGAAGAAAAAATAGATCTCATAACTGCAGAAAACACTATCGCCAACATTTTATTGTCTTCTATCGAAAGTACTACTACCGTCCTTAAAAAGAATGAACCCGAAACCCTAAAAGAAAGAGCTAAAGTGGAAAGAACGATTTCCAACGAATCTGTTAATAAATTGTCCGATTCTGAAAAAAAGAAAGAACCCGCGAACGAAGTAGTTAAAAAGAAAGAAATCGAAAGGAAAAAATCTATCGATCACGACGGTAACAAAGGTAGAGATAAGAAAGAACTCGATTCGAAAAAGAGTAGTGTTTGCCTGTCGAAACCCAAGGATACCGATAGTAAAGCTAAAGAACTAGAGTTCAACATGTTCGAAATAAACCGCATGAACAATAAGAAAAAAGAGGAACAACTTCTTCTTACCAACGGCAAAGTGAAAGAATCTGAAAAGAAAAAGGACGCACAGTCGACAAAACAACAGGAGAAGAAACCCGAAGTAAAGAAAGAAGAGAAGAGAAAACATTCTGTCGGCAGCAAAGAGACGGATGGTAAAAAAGACGACGGAGAGAAAGTCAAAGAGAAGAAAAAAGACAAACGTGACAGAGATTCGTCTTCTAAACACAAGGAGAGAAAGAAGAGCCTGGACGAAAGTGGCGGCAAACACAGACACGAAAGCGGTAGTAAGAAGTCTAAAGAACATTACAAGGCCAAAGAAGAAGAGAAAATCCACCAAGCAGTCGCCACGGACTCGGACGGCAAAACAACCGAAGACAAGGAATCCAAGAAGGACAAGCGAGTAGACAGGCACAGCATAAGCAGTAACAGTTCGGCGGGGCGGTCGTCAAAGAGACGGATGAGCGACAGTTCGGAAAACTTGGACGACTCGAAGCGTTCAAAGCGAGAGAGTAAAAGTTTGTCCAAGGATAAAAGCCACAAGAAAACGTCCGACAAGCACATTTCGTTTATATCGAAAATTTTGGACGGTAAGAACAAGGAGCAGAAGAAAGACCACGAGAAGAAAACCGACAAGAAGAAGGAAGAAAGAAAAGTCGTCAAGACGCCGACGTTGACGGAGACGGATGACGACGACGACGACGAAGACGAAGAGGCCAGAGAGAGAAGGAAAAATCATTCTATATTCGAGGTGGTACTCGACGAGCCGTACGTGTCCATGTACGACAAGGTGAAGGCCAGGTCGACGAAAAACATGCAAAAACAAGAAGAAGAAAAGCGGCAAGAGAAACTCAAAGAGAAGTTCAGTCAGCTGAAACAGAGCCGTGCGAAACGAGAGGAGAAGAAGAGGTCCGCGTCGTACGACGGCGATTCGGATTCCGACCGCGGCCCTCGTAGGTCGTCCAAGTTGCTCATCACCAGCTCGGACGACGACGACGACTACTTTCGCCGGAAGAGTCTCCGGCAGGTTTCCGACTCGTCGGAAAGCGAAAGGCCGAAAATCCAGCGAACCGTTTCGGACAGTTGTTACAACGCGGACAAGGCCAAACAAAAGCGGATATCCGACTCGTACGACAACGACCGGCTCAGGGCGCAGAGGGTGTCGGATTCTTCTGAAAACGAAAAGTTCAAACGGTTGTCCAAGTTCAAGGACTTCGCCAGAATACACCATTCCGAGTGCAGTGACAGCGACGACGCGTTCATCCGCAAGAACTCGTTTAGTTTCGACAAAATCCAAAACGGCGGTCTCGACGTGCAAACGTACAACGGGTACCAAAAGAAAAAGAAGCAGAAGAAGTCCAAAAGCGATTACTCGAGAAAGTCGTCAGTCGATAACGGGTCTGACAGCACTACCAAATCGATCAAGGAGAAGAAGAAGAAACACTCGACCGGTCATAAGACCAACATCAACGAAAGGATGCAAGACATATTCGGTCCGCTGTCAGACGAAGACAACGACAAGATTATTGTCAACAAGTGGAGCGTGTCTGACGTGTTCGGCACCGATTCGGATACCGAGCACGAGCGGAAGGAAAATAAACCGAAAATGGAAAATAAAAAGTTCAACGAGTTCGGAAACGACGTATTGAAATCTCTGTCTCATAACGTTGACGACATGACGAGAAAGAAAAAGAAAAGGAAGAAGGACAAAGAGAGGAACAAAGAAGATCGTAGAGACGAATTCCAGAAAGACCGTAAAGACGATTGTAGAGAAGACAGAAAAGAAGAACGCAGAGAGTGTAGAAAAGACGAACGCCGAATAGAGCAGAAGCGCAGGGAAGAACGCAAGGAAGAGCAGCGCAGGGAAGAACGCAAAGAAGAACTACGCGGAGACGAACGCAAAGAAGAACGGAGGGACGTGTGCAGTAAAGACGAACGTAAAATTGAACACAAAGAAGACGGCGGAACAGAAGAGCGCAGGGAAGACGTTAAAAAGCCCGAGTCGAAAGAAGTGAAATTAGAAAAATCGGTCGCCCTAGTCCACCACCAAGAAGAGAGGAAAGCGCCCAGGGAGCCTAAACATTACGAGGAAATCAAAGTGATGGACAATCTGCAGAGCATCATCGAGTCGAAAAAGAAACCGAAAGAAGAACAACAAGAGTTTATTGCCGCCGCCGCCGCCGCAGCAGCAGCGGCCAGCAGTGAAGTGTCGAAGAAAATCACTCAGGAACGAGACGTGTTTTCTTCATTTTTCGATTTTGATGATTCCAAAGGCCCCGAGGACGAGACCATCACTATTTTCAAAGGCGAAGACGACACCGTCAAAACCGAAGTGATGTTTAGGACAATGGACGACACAAAAGACGACCCGTCTTCGACTTCTTCGTCGTTCAAACCAACGACGACGACCACGACCACGACCACGTTCGAACCGCCCGCCAAGAGAGAAATAATCGGCTTCGGTTCGCACATGGCCGACGAGACGGCGGTCAAAAGCATTTCCGAAAATGTGGAACCGCTGGTGCAAGAATCGGACGATTCGATGACACTTCCAGAAGACAAACCTACACCCGTCATATCCCAAGAGGAGACTGAGGGCGCCGTCGCGGCTTTGCTCGAGGCGTCGTTCGGTCAGGACTTTTGCGATTCTTCTTACTCGGACAGGTCCGCTAAGCCGGACACTCCTCTTTCAGACAGTGAACTCCAAATCGATACCGACGACGAAGACAGTATCGACTCTATAGTAGACGAATGCAAGAACAGTGTTGTTTCAGACACGTCTGAAAATCCGAACAATTCGTTGTCGGCCAGTAGTAAAGCCAGAGACGAAGACGTCGGCGACAAAGCGGACAGACCCGAATCGATAGTGTTTGCAACAAAGAAGAAATGCGACAAAACAGTCGCTGAACCCAAAAAGCTGGAAAAACGGCCACTGCTCGAAGTGCCCAAAGATCCTCCGACGTCTGCTGCCGCGCAAGCCGACAAGAAACCGACATCTCCTTTGAGTCACAATTTCAGATTACCCCAAATGGTCATACAGCAGACATGCACGAGACCTTTGAACATAAACTACGCCAAACCGTTGGTCGAGGCTAAACCCGCCGTGGCCGTGCCTCATGAAATCCTCATTTCTCCTACCGACCAGACGGTCAACGAGATGGTTTTGCCCAAACGGCCGCCGGAACTTGTTAAACCCGAAGATCAGGTGTCGGTTGTGAAGTATTCAAATACTCAACCGCCGCCACCTCCGCCACCACCACCTCCTCCACCACCACCACCACCACCACCACCACCACCTCCTCCTCCACCTCCGCCCGCAGTGGTTTGCCAAGAGAAGTCTGTGATATTGTGTGCCGCAGCACCGCTTCCGCCGTCTTCTCTGATCAAACAGGAGTTTGTGGGACAACCGTCAGTGTTGCAGCACACAAAGGACACTACTCCTGTGGTTCAGAGTTGCATTGTAACGCCCCCGGTCAGTTATCCCGAGAGCGAAAACACTAAAGTGGATTTAAAAGAAGAACAACTCAAAGAGGAACCGACATTGCCCACGTTGAGTGCTCGAGAAGAACATCCGATGACGTCCGTCAAAGCCTCGATAATAACATATGCGAAAAAGCTCGTTGCCCCTGTCGAAAGGCGACCGCTGACATTGACACTGACATCGGCCACCGCTGAAGCTTCAAATGTAGACCCAAAACAAGACCGACCTTTGTCTCCTCCGCCAAATGTAGTCTCTACTGACCCAGTTGTCTCTGACGACAAACTGATGCCTAAACATCCAAAAGCAAAGGGCTTGGAACGCATCGTCGAGCAAATCAACGAGAAAATCCGAACCAAATCCGGTACTGAGAAATCTTTGAACTTGACCAAAGAACCCAGAATGATGCCGCTAAAGAAAGTGCTCATTGCTAAGGAAAAAGACGAGAACAGGAAAGACAACCAAACGGCGGAAGTCGTTGTGGACGTTAAGTCTAAAATGGCGGCTGTGGTGGACTTAGAATCGGCTGAAGATTTAGTAGTGGCGCCATTGACTCCGAAATTTGAAGACAAAAACGAAGTGTTTGCCAGTCCGGGAGAAAGTAGTTGTGAACCCAAAGAACTGGACACAGCTAGGATTAAAAAAGAAGACGAGTTCATGAAGGAAATGGTGAAAATTGATAGAGGTAAGCAAAAGAAAACGAAAATTGTTAATTTTTTATTTGACTAATTATTGTTTAATTGTTTTCTCGTAGATGCAGCAGTTAGAGGTAGGCGTAGAGGCGGAAGAGGAGGTCGTGGTAATCGGGCGGGTATTAATGCAATAGTGACTCCGAGGAGAACCCGTCAAAATATTACAACACTAAATATGCCTGCACAGAGCGCCTCGACTGATGTGTATGAGTTCACGGACGAAGAAGAAAAAGTCAACCAAAAGTACAGCAAATCTCCCGAACCTTCTATCATAACCGCACCGGCTAATGTCACTCCATCAACGATGACTGCTAGTGCCGTAGCGAGTACTTCGCCGCTGACTAGAAAATCGAGAAGACTTCAGGTAAATAAAATTGAATATAATAATTATACTTTTGTCATTTGTGATTTGTGATTTATATGTATAACGGATTAAATAATTATTCTATTATAGGAGAAAGATGGTGGAAAGACCACATTAGAAGAAACAATTGACGAAGTTGCTCGAGGACCATGCACACGACGTACTACTCGTTCCAAACCTCACGCAGTGCAGTTATTGAGTCTAGAAACATCACCACGAAAGAATAAACAACTGAGCGGAAAAAAATCTAAAGCGGAGTCACCCCAACCTGTATCTAAAATAGAAATGACAGAATCAGCCTTGTGCAGTGAACAAGATGACAAAAATCAGCTCTCAATGTCAATGTTATCAACGTCATCCGCTTCATCTACTACCTCTGAGACAATGACGCTGATCGATCCTGTCAGTGGGTTGCTAATTCCTATGCAAGAGTCGGAAGAAGGACAGTATGTACCGATTGACGACGGAGAGAGTGACAGCGGAATTAAATTATCATCAGATGAACCTCCCGAAAAGAAGCAGCGTATTGAAAAAACAGCCGTGATCCCTGTAACTACATGCAAAAACAGTACTACTATTCCAGCTTTGGCGGTAACGCCAAATAACATCCTTCCGGCGACTACTACTACGTACGCCGTCACACCCGGAATGTCTAATGTAGCGAAAACGCCTTGTGTGATGACTATTGCCAATTCAGCGCCCATTGGTCTCGTCAAACCCAACATTACGTCTTCTGTAATAGCACCTACAAACATAGTTAAGTCTACTGCTGTGATGGCGCCTTCTCCTCCTCCACTCAAGACCCAAGCAAATATTATAAACAAAACAAACCATCCGGTATCTAATCAGCAATCATTGTGCAAACCCTCAGCCTCTGTTATGCAGCTTCCAATCAAATCACATTTGAGCTCATTAAGTCGTACTCCACCATTGCCCAAACTGTTATCGCCCAAAGGGCATATCGTTCAAGCTTATACTACATCACAATCGTTAGAACCAAACAGTAGTCAGACTGCTGCAATGCCACATCCACTACAAACACCACCACCACCACCACCTGTGCCTTCTCAGTCACCATTGGTCGTTCATGCTCAAGCTGTAATGAGTCCTCCGTTGAGGGGAGTATTGAGCCCACCATCTAGAGGAAGAATGAGTTCTCCGCCCAGAATTGTTCCTTCATCACCTCAGCTTGTACTAAGTGCTCGAGATTTGCCAGCGCCCTCCGACGTAAGTATTTCAACGGATTATTAGAAATTATACAAAAAATATATATATATATATATTATGTATAATTATATATTTTAAGAAACAAACTTATTTTACTTTTTTTCCCCCTTTTAGATAATGTGTCCGAAAGGATTTGATATTTCTAAAATGGAGCACCCTAAGTGTATAGTAATGAGGAGTCCATCACCACTTCTGTCGTCTCTACCTGCGCAAGGGTTACCGTACGATGCGACCGTTGATCCTGCTACAATAAGTATGGTTCCGCCTCATCATTTCTTACATCCTCAGCTTATTTATCCGCATTATATTAGAGATACAATGGCGCCTTTCATTCCACAACGTAAGTTACACGCATTTAACGTTTGTTGTTGTAAAAGATATGTTCTTAATTTGTTAATTTGTCCATGTTGTAATAAAGAAACCGTCAAAGTCGTACCGGAGGCTGAAGAGGTCCCACCCTTGGAGTTACGTAAGAGAGGTCCGGAAGAATGTCTGCCGGAGAGAATTCAGCATTTACCTGAGCCCCAACAATATCTGAGGCATATCGGTGTTCCAATGGGAAGTCTGCCATACAGTCAAGTTACGCCGATCAATTATAATTACAGGCCAATAAATACTGTTTTGAAGGTAAGAAATTGTTATTACAAGTTAAATTTTAGATTAATATTTCAGTGATATCATGGTGTTTAATGTTTACATGGTTTTCAGAACTATCCAATCTACTGGCAAGGCACGTTGGCATTGAAAAATGACAAAGCGCTCGTCGAGATGCATTATTTGTTTGGAAACGCAGCAGTAGCCGAACATTCGCTGCAGCGCAATATCGACGGAGAGTTGAAGTTATCGCAGCGCATGCGGTTGGATAAGTCGCAACTGGATGGCGTTTCGCGAAAGATGCAGGTAAGAAAAGACTGGGTTTTAAATTATCGTCTTTTACGTTATTTTTAGCGTTAACAAATTAATTCATTTTTCACGTATTTGCTATTTAGATTGAAGATGAATGTTGTGTATTGATCGCCGTACCAGTTGGAATGAGCGAAGAAGATTGGAACCAACAGAGCTGCACTTTGCACAATGGTTTCATAACTTATCTGCAACAGAAACAAGCTGCCGGCATTATTAACATCACGGCACCCGGAAGCAATCAGGTAAACAACAATCTTTAACAATTATAAGAAATTGCGTGTTTGACGTCAATGTGTAACGTTTGCGTTATTATTGATGAATAATATGCATGTTCAGATACAGTAAATATGATTGTTTATTTTATTTCTTATTGCAGAACGCTTATGTAGTACACATGTTTCCTCCTTGTGATTACATCAACAGTGTTTTATCTACGGCCAACCCATCTGTACTGAAACAACTAACATCTATGGCTCATTTGATAATAGTCATCGCCACAGTGTAAATATTCTATAACGAGTACAAATTCTTTCTTCTAGCGCATTAGGCGCACAAATTATATATAGTTGAATAAATATTTAAAACATAAAAAAAAAAATCATTAAAATTGTTGATGATATTGTTAACAGTTTTTATTATTATTATTATTAATTTTTTTTACGCATTAACAATTTGTTATTGAAATATAATGCTAATGATTTCAAATTGGTTACCATAATTTAAGAAGTTTTCATATTTAAATATTAAGAATTGTAAAGACAAAAATTCACTGTACAAAATTAGGAGTAAAAAAAAAAAATTGTTTTTATTTAAAATTTTTGTTATTTATTTTTCAAAAATTCTAACTTTTTTTATCTCGATTTTTTTATTATTATTATTATTATTTATTTATTTATAGTAAATAAGGTGTAGACTTATTAAACAATTTTTTTAATGTAAGCAAATTGTTGATGTAATTTGATTAGCCAAATGTTAACTTGATAAAAAATGAAAGTTAACGTGTGGTTATTATTAAACAATTAATTTTTAAATTGACAGTATTATTTGGTAAAAATGTCTTATGTACTTATATAGCATAATTTTTCTTGTACAAGTTTTTTTTTTTGGTTTTTAACATATTGAATATATTATATAAATAATAATAATAATAATATGTGTAATACTTGTAAAGAAAAAAATAATTTATAAAAATATATAATATATATATATTACTTAAAGTAATCATAATGACAAATAAAATGAAAATAAGAAAACGAAAAAAAATAAACCCCAACACTAGTTTAGATATAGAGTATTATAGTATTCTATTATAAAATGTGTTTTGCTCAACTAATTTCTAACTACAGTCAATATGCTAATAATATATATGTATGCATGTATTTATACAATATACATATATGTTAACCTAAATGTTAAAACAAATTTAAGGTTTTTTTATTATTTAATTTTTTTTTTTTTTTGTGAATATTATTTAAAGATTTTAGACTTTCTAAATCTATTTGGCAATGTAAATGACCCCCTTCCCCATTACAAATATATATTAATTGATTAATTTAAAAGAAATTAAAATAATGAAAATATTAAATATTGTTCTTTGGCTGTGATCTCTGCATTAAGGTTCACTGTTATAATTTGATTGTATCATAGATTTTTTTTTTTTAAGTGTAACAAGTGTATAAGATATGTATTTAAAAATGTATTTCTATTAGTTATTATTATTGAATAATAAATAATAATAATGATAATAATAAAGAGAAAACTCACTGTTTAGAAAAATTAACAAGGTCTATTTCTTTTTTCCTCGTTTTAACATTTATTTTATTGAATGTCTAAACTATTAGAAGATATCTAAAAATACGTTAAATTCCTCTTGTAATAATTATGTGCATTATTATTTATTAGTTATTACGTTACATTCGAATAAAACAGTTACTAGTTACTATTGATTTTTCTTAAACTATTATTATGTTTGAAATCAAAATTGTAATCGTAACAATATTACTGGCCGTGTTGAACTCATATAAATTATGACGACTGTACTGTATCACAGGTGGTAAGCCTTTTCATCGGCCTTTAAATGAATTTTGTCGATGTTGAAAAGGCGAATAACGGATTCATTAAATGTAGGCTCGAATTGAAAAATCTTACCTTTACAATGAACAACATCAAAACATTGACCGACTGTTATTGTAGTTTACTCAGTGTAACTATAAAACTGTGATAAGATGACAGAAGCTAATATGGCACATTTTGTCAATTTTTGGGTGTAATTTACTGATAAGTTTCAAAATGGGTATTATATAAAATGGCAAACAATTGTACGGCTGGATGTTTTCGTTATTGAGCAATAATTTTGCTAACATGGAAACTAATGTTCTTTAAGAGTACATTTTACTGAGAAACTTAATTAAGCTCATCATTTATATTAGCTTCTGCCATCCTAATTATTAGTAATTCCTACCTCAGAATAATGACGTGACATTTTGTTGGCGGTAAGATTTATATTTTCTAGTGAACTGAATTTAATCGTACTCGGTTCCTAAACCAACACAACATGATCTTTATCAGCACACATTATAAAATAATTATTAATTTTATCTGATCGAATCAATGTTTAATCATAGCGTTAATTGCCGTTTGTACCATTTGTCATTCAACCTCTAATCTGAGATGTGCTCTATCAACTTAACAGTTAACCGTAATTATAATTCCAGTCGACCACATAATATACGTATCGTCTAAGACCGTGGGATAGGAAGTGTGAGAATTCTCCTTTCTCAATTCAAAATAATATTTTCTTACAGAGATCGCTCGAGAATTGATGTTATTCAAAATGATAATTGATGGATGTGAAGCTGAGAATTGATTATTTCTAATTTATTATGCAGCTTCGAAACTCTCCCTCCCCTCCCCCCGAATAAGCTAGAAACTGAAATGCTCATAGAGAGGGTGAAAAATAAAAAAATATATCGCTCTCCTTAAAAATAACGAATTAAACATGTATAGAAGTATAATTAGTTTCAAGTTTCAACTTGAAATAGTTTTACAGAGTATTAATAAAAAATATCCCAATCAAACAATGGCCCCTAGTCTAAAATATTTTCTTCTCTCTCAAGAGAAAATTACCGATTAATTAGTTTATCGTTTTTTTAGTTACAATTATTTTAAGAGCCGAGAATTACACTAAACCCCTTGGTATATTGTAGTATATTTATTATTTATAAATAAAATATATAAACTGGCGTCTCTACTTGTACTGTACTTGATTTATAATGTTAACGGTATTTTTTTTATAGGCGTTTTTATACCTAGTAAATCTTGCTGTCTCGTTTTGTTTTAAGAGTTTGTCAGAAGTTGTAACTTTGACTGTACAGTCTACAATCTAAAACCTTGAAAGTTATTATTTATAGCATTGCGCAGAACACAGGTAAATTAATGTTGTGTTTTGTGAGTTTTCTAGCTTCGATGCGGATCTGAAAAGTATTGTTTTTACAGATAACCTACGACATCTTACAAGCCCGATTCCTTCGTGTAGCAACTCTATAGATCAGAAATCTTACCCGAAAGGTACACTCTACAAGGCCAAAAATGTAAAAAGTCCCACACTTGGCCATCAAAATCGAGAAAAAGATATTTTTAAACTTATCTGGCGCTCTGTAATTTTTTTAAATAATTAGTCGAATTAACTGGAAACGTTTTCTTTTGCTCTCTTTTCAGCGAAGTGTTCAGTTTAAATGAGGTCTAGAAATTAGACTGAATTAAGATCTAGAGTGGGTTTAAAACATACGGTTTTCTTAAACATCTGTAGTTAAACTTAATTTTGATTTTAAAAAAATGAGGAAAATTCATATTGACGTGGTAAATTTTAAATGTCTAGGTTGTTACGTGTAAGTGAATTAACAGGCATTTGAACATATTTTCATTATATTGTAAATTACAATTATGGGTTGCAACGATAATAAATTATTATATATTATCATCAACCTTAATCATATTCTAATCTTACAATTATCATTTCAAACACATTATTGCCTATACAATGATGTTTTCTTGATATTTAATATTTCTACCATCTGATGATTCAAAGCGTTTGTTTGAAAGTTATAATATCACTTTCGGTTATAGTTTTAGATAAATATATCTTAGAATATTCTTATATAATAATAAAAATAGAAAAGGTAGTTGCATAAGAAGTGGTTTTACCATAAATTAAGTATAATGTTTATAATCAATATTTATAAAAATCTGTAGACTAAAAAAAGTACCTAGGTAGAAAACTACCAAGTAAAGTACTAGGCAGAGAACCTTATAGAATTAGAAAGACAAATATTTCACATTTAGAATAATTTATGATTTATATTATACAAAATTGTGGAGGAATTATATGTTGAAGAAGTGATTGAAAAAATAACGAAATAGTAAAGTAAGCTTAAATCTCTAAAGACCGTTTGCACCAACTATGCTTATAATTTAATTGTAGCTGGTACAAACAGCTATAACTTATAATGGCCAATGCCACTAGTATACTGGCATTTTATGCTGATAGTTTCTTGTTTGTTACATTCGATTAAACAAATTTGATTAGACATATAAAAAAAAATTGTATTTAGTACAGAAAAATAAAAAAAGTAGAGCACATGTACGTAATAAATAAGAACATCGAGTAGTAGTATAATATTTAAATATGGCATAATCAATCATTTGTACAAAACAATCAATTTTTTTAATTCCCTTGGTTTTGAAATTTTAATAGTCTTTTTGGCGGTATTTATTGTATTATAATTTAAGTTCCTAACCTATAAAACCATTTAGTTATACTAACGTTACGCTAAATTAAACGTAAGTTTTGCCCACGATGTAGAGAAGATCTTCTCTACATTGTGGTTTTGCCTTATTAAGCGGTCGGCCATGTCAAGATTGTGAAGTGGATTTATTTATTTAATATTAGTATTTATAGTCAATGGTCGTTGCATCCTTGTCTAATCAGCATTTTATCATTTTACCTTGGTTGCAGTATATATGTTATATGTTTGGGTTTCGTGGTAAACTGATAATGTTATTATAAATATATCTCATAATGATAATAGATTATATATAAAACGCATTTCTTGTCGGCACTTCGACGATATTAAAATTTTGATTAATGTAGTCGTTTATATTTTTAGTTCATAAAAAAATAGAAATAGAATTAATTTATAGTTATTTTAAGTCATATAATTTATAACAACCTCTATTTTTGACATACAAGTGACTACAATATGTCACAGCTGGGGAGAGTAAAGGTAAATTGATCCAAGTATATATGATTTTTTAAGATAAATGTAAAATACTTAGTTATGTTTGTGAGATAATGAAGTGAAGAACAATATTAAGTTTCTTTGCATTCATTTTTTGAATACCATATTGTACAAAGTGCTAAATTGAAATATACTCAGTACTCACAAATTGCCTAGAATTGTCATAGAGCATATAAGTATTGTTAAGCTTACTGCCTTTTTTTTTTTAAATCCGACATTGTTTTTTTACCAATGTGGCTTTCATTATTTAGTTTTTATCAATCAATATATTAAAAAAAAATAATTCGATAGTGGTTGATACGTTTATCCTACAGGGGCATTTCAATTCTTTCAGAAAGGGTTAGCCATCTTTTAAGAGACTTCTCTTCACTGTGGACAAACGACAGATTAAATTGTTCATTAATTTTTTTATCAATTTTGGTTCTATCTTGGTTTTTAACTGTTTTATTATCTCTTGGGACCTGTCTTCACATACAGATAACACGTTTTTAAATTCATACCTTCCATGTTTGCTCCACAGTATAGAATTTATTTATAACTTCTGATTTGTTATTCTTAACTATTCAGTTATTACCAGTTACATATGTGATTTTATATTAATTATTAAGATTTCTGTTGCGTTAATTTATAGTATACTATATAATTTGTTTCATTTTGTAATTTGAATAAAATGTTAGTTTTTTTTTTAATTCAATATTTTAGAAATGTATACCAGTGGCATAATTTGGTCATGTTTGTGGGGGGAGATAAAAAAAAACTGCATACATTTTACTCATCACCCCCTCCCTCCCGCAACTTTTTTTCCGTTTGTATACCATTGTGATATATAAAACGTCAAGGGGGGATACGACACCTAAATCCCCCCCCATAATTACGCCACTGATGTGTACAGAATTTTTATTGTTCTTCTCATTATCTTTTAATATAAAATGTTAAATAATTTTTTAGGTACATTATTGTTAAAAAAAAATCACCATAAATGTGTTATATATTCTTTTATAACATATATTTGTTTTGTGACTTATGTGTTTTGATTATGTGTATAGCAATGGCAAACATTTGCACGTTGTTGGCATCTATTTGATGCTACTTGGCAGAACCCTTTGGAGAGCGCAAATACAATTGAGAAATATTTAAAAGGACTCTATAAACCCATTTATCATCCATATGGTAATTTTAACATTTATTTCAATTTTTCTGTTTGGAAGTTTTAAATTACCTATTTTTTTTTTTTAAATCTCAACAAAGAAATAAATTAAATTTTTATTTTGTCTTAGTTGATTCTGGAGATCATGTTGTAGTCATTAATAGTAAGAAAATAGCTTTTCCTGGTGAAGAATGGCGACGGCGTGTGTACTTCCATCATACTGGATATTCAGGTGGAGCATCATGGACACCAGCTTGGGAATTGCACAATAAAGACCCTACAATGGTATAAAATAATATAACAATATAAGTTATATATAACAATATAACAATATAACAATATAACAAGGGCATATTAGGCCACAAGTTTTTCCACAAACAAACAATCACTTTTTCGCTTTCGTATTCCCAATCATTATTAGCAAGGAAAAAAATCACATCCTTTAAGTGGGTGTCTTTTAAGGATTTGATCACACTGTCGTCTTTAGATAAGACCTTGTACAATTGGCTCTTTTTACTGCATTTTAATATTTTGAATAACATGCTGGTGCATTGGCTGTAATAGTGGCGTAACATTAAGAAATAAAATATCTAATTGCTTCATTGGGACTATATCAATTTTATTAGCCACGTATTACGATTATTATTTGTTTGTATTATGAAATTAATAGGGCCGGACATGCCAGTTATGACATGGACGGATTACCGAGAGTCCACTGTATTATTATGATAGCTAGGATGTTAATTTACTTCAGTGATTCTAGGCCAAATAAAAAAAAAATTATTGAGAAAGTAATAACAGCAAAAGTAAATTAAAAATAGCAAAAAGTATTTGAGCAAATAGTAGATAATAGTAAATGATAAAATTGTAATTGTATTATTTTGCGTAACTGTTTTAAATTTTACATAATTGCATCTTGTATAGTTATTTTTATAGCTTCAGGGTAACATTAGATTATGCTATTAAAATTTAGTTAGATTTATTAGCAAAACTACAAAAAAGTAAAAAAATAAACGCTCATAATACAATTTTGAAAATTAAAATTAAAAAATTTACATATAAGTTGTGTTTTTACAAGAAAATGTCAATGTTAGAAAATTGACGCTTGTCCGCTTATGTGTCTCTTAATCTTTGATAAAGTATTTGCTGTTTGGTTTTCAACTACAAATTTTATTTAAATGCATGTCAATTCTTCTATTATTACATAAAGTACATTGATTTTTTTAAAATGCATTATGCAGTTATTGTTCAAAATAAAAAAATATATGACATTGATTATTGTATAACGCTGTCATTATTTTTTTCAGTAAATAAGTACACGTTAATTAATAACATTTAGTGTTATCTATTAACTGATATGATATATAGTTTAACATTATTAAAATCTTTTTTTTTGTATTTAATTTTACTCACATTTCTTGATTTTAATGGTGAACCAGTGGACTAATAAAGTTTATGTTATTGTTCAGACTTAAAAAAATATTGAATCATTAAAAACTGGAATAGTGCATAATCTAAGTGACCTTATTTCATCTTAACTAGTAAAAGTATACCAATAACTATTTAGTGAATATTAATCTTATTTTAATACTAGAATCAAACATTTGGCCTTATGGATTGAGGGAGAACCTTTGGAAGATATTCCAATTAGACAATGGTCTAATCTCAATTTATTTTTGGAACAGTGTTGACACATCTATCACCAAAGAAAAAATATTTATAACAAGGCCATATTGAAATGTTTTTAAATTTTAGATTAGTTTGAACAAATGATTAAATTTACCAAATTTTGTTCAGAGTTATTCGTATTTATAATTAAAAATAAGAAATATTAAAAATTATTATTTTTCAGATTTTCAGAAAAGCAGTTTATCACCATATGAAAGGAAATTTATTCCGAAGGGTAGTCATGGAAAGATTACACATTTATCCAGACTCGAATGTGCCTAGCGATATACTGGAAAATGTTACGAATCAGATTAGACCGCTGCGGTCTATACCTAGAACATTGGATTCGTACAGTCAAGAAGAAGTCATAAAATATCCAAAAATTATCGACTACCCCGAGGATTATGTTTTAAAGACAAAAGAATAAATATAGTTTATATTTTCATAATTATCTATGTATATTAGACTATTTTTAGTTTTTATTTCTATATTTAGATACAGTTTTAGTATTGTTTTTGCTGTATATATATGATGTTTTTTATATTATCCGGTATTGGCAATATTTACTATCTATAAATTATGTACTTTATAGATACACTTAAAAAAGTTTTAGTCAAGTATATGTAAATTATTAATTAATTTATAACACTAGCCTTTTCCTTAAATTGTTTTATATTGTCGCTTTAAAATTTATTGTGAAAAACAAGAACAATAATGTCAGGGATAAACTAGATTGTAAAAAATTGCTGAAAACTCATCTCGTTTCCACAGAAATGTTGCTGATTTTTTTTTTGGCCTATTAATTTTGTTAATCATTTGATTTTATCAGTTATAGATACATGTAAAAATATACAATTTTTCTGATAGGTCTTCCGTCAATATTGTCCAATATCTTTGTTTAACTTATATCATTTACTGGAATCAGAATTGTTCAACAATATTTATCGGGAGAAGAAAAAACATTTCAGAAACGATGTGAATTGTTATCAATGAACATACTTTATTTGTTAAGAATTATTCTAAGAAAAAAGAACCCAAAATTCTAAAGGTTTAGTGGAAAATTTTAAGTATAACCCTTGGATATTTATAAAATCAAATTACAAATCATTGTTTAAGATTGCAGTATTAATGTCATTACACTTTTTAATTATTGTTCTCTTTAAGACAATGCTATTGTTATATGTGAAAAACAAAATCAATGTGCAATATTTTTAACATTGTTGTTTCAATAGTCAATCTAATATTACAATTCAGTTACCAAAGTGACCTTGTCAGCCTTTTAAACAAATCAAAATCTCTCAAATCTGCTTTGAGATGATAGCACAGCGACAACACAATAATTGACTATTCTTATCGGTCACTAATTATCGGATGTTGCAAACAAAATTGTGAAACTAATATTTAATACTTATGATATGTGTACAATCAGATGGTTTTAAAATTGCCTATTCCAAATTGAAACTCCTCTATTACCAATAGGTATTAAAAATCAAGCTGAAAGTTGTTACTATCATAAGACTTAACATAACTCTTAGTGCAAATTACTTATTCGTATTTCCAAAGGCAGTGAAGGAAATCAGATTCGCCGATTGTGTATGAAACAGCAAACCAGAGTAAATGTAAAAAAAAATAAACTAAAAAAGTATCAACAAAATGTATTCATTAGGTTGTTATCTTACTTTTGTCGATTAAAGAAGATCTCATAAAAAATTACAGTGGTTAAATGATTAAAGAGTACAGAGGAGGGAATTATCTTTTTTCGGAAAACTTGTATTTTATAATTTATTAATTTGCTTTTTTTGTTATTTATTAGATTAATTAAGTAATATGTGTTAAGGCTTAAATGAATATATTTTAAAATATAACATAACAGTATCTTAATAAGATAATAAGTAGTATAATAGTTCTTACCATAGTGTCTTACAAAAAGAAACACTATGAATACTTGATCGCTTCATCTCATGAAAATTATGTCAGTCAGTCGAGTCTTCTCTTTCTCCCTCTACAAATTTGTATCCATCGGTATTTTTAAAATATTTTTTCCGGTCCATTTCTTCGGTCTATCTTCAGTTTTCTGAATTCCTGTACACACTTATCACTATCAGAAATAGTTTTACTATTGTCTATTTCTCATCATATTTTACTTCTACACATTAATCTATTTCGTCCTACAGTCAAGAAGTTCAGCACCCTAGTAAATAGTAATCAGAATCGTGTCAGAAATTTTACAACAGACGTCATTTCTAAATAAAATATAATAAAGAAAAGTTATAAGCACGCGTATTTTAGTTAATTTTACAATAAATACTTTATTGTACCTAATACTTATAATAATAAATATGTAGTTATTGGGAAAAGTAATTTTATTATATTTTCGACTTTTGTCTTTCTATTGCTGATACGAATACAATTATGTTATTATTTAATCAAAATCTGATGTACCCGAAGAGTTGATGTAGAGATCTCGGATTAGTAAGATAAAACGCATTCACGCGCATATGTATAACATTACAGCTAGTTTATAATAATAATAATAATAATAATAATAATAATAATAATAATAATAATACTAACTAACAATACCTATATTCTTACATTACCTACATAACAATATTAAAAAAATAATAATTACAATAATTTGTTTTAAGAAGTAAAAAATAATATGTTACATTTTTTTGTTTTTTTTTATATAATAGACATGGCAAACGTGTGTTCGGTTTACGATGAGTGATGCGTTCAACGTAAACGGATGGGGCTCTTATTGATAGTACGGAATGGCGTTTTGTTCCGGTAGCGGTTCATAGTACTTCCGCCTCAAGTTGTCGTTTTTCATTAGTTTCTGGTATTTGGCAGCCGTGAGCGGATACTTCTCGTACTTTGAATACGGTTTCTGAAACTTGATTTTCATCGGTACCTATTTGTGAACAGACGAAACTTTAAATAATTTAGCTGCAAGTGAATTCATTTAATTTAATAGGCGCAAACAATATTAATGCACTGCGATGTCAAGCAATACACATGAGCGGACCATTTAGAAGAATTCACGACATTAATTTAATACAAGCTTTCGTGTTTGCCAAAGAGGTTTTTTGTTTGTCGGACCGACGTTGTAGTAAGTATTACAGGTTGTTTGCAAAATGGAAAATTATCAAAGTAAGGTTGCTTACCAATAGAATTCTCCCGGCAGCCAAGTACTCGAGGAAGTTATACGGGATGGGCACAAAAGACGGATCTAAGGGCGGCGGTTCCGGTTTGTCTTCCGAGTACTCGTGGACGGGCGCCGGGGGAGTTAAGTCTTGGCGGGGCATTGGGATCGCCTTGGGCTCTATCACCGCAGGTTCAATGGGTGTCGTTTTACCAGTCGGCACTGATATGGCAGCTGCCAAGTTAATCAGGCAAAAACACTGAAAACAAAATACAATAAAATATTAATCGCAATATTAAATATTCAGCTATTCTTAATTAATGATGCAAATTAATGGGCAATAGTCAGTACAATAACACTATCAGGTGAGTGTTAACTGAAGTGGTCAACGCCTTTTCGTCAACGAGACCTTAACTTTTTTTTATTTTTTTTTTGTCAAAAAAGTTTAAACGTTAATTGTATTATTAAAGTTTTAGACAGACGTCAAGGGAAACATATAGGGTACAATGAGAACTCTGAACCGAGTACCAAGTGGGGCAGTAGGGTTTATCCACTTTTAATGTAGAAGTGACTCGAAACTATGAAAATAGTTTTAATTTTTTTAGATTTACCTAAATAGAAAAATATGTTCTAAATAAGTACAAATTCGATTTTCTTGCGCTCTGTAGTCCCATTTTCAGGGTTCAGCCCGTGTTTATAAAAATGGAATGCTCTCTATGAAAACGATTTTTATGTTTGTAGAGATTTTCTAGTTAATTAAATAATACTTCCAAAATATATCCCTGATCTACCAGTGGCGGATTTAAGGGGAGGGGCGATCGCCCCGTGGCCCAAGAAAAAAGTAGTTGTAATAAATTTCGGCCATGTCAATTAATTTACCTGTTAATTTGTATAAGCTTCATGGTATTATTTTCAATTTAAATCATTTTGTCTATGAGTAAAAACCATTTTAGTTAATATAATAGTACATTTTTTGTTCGTCGCTGAAAACAGAATTAAATTCGTCATGAAGTTTACTTGAGATCGGTCAGCGTACTTTTTATAAAAATTTCAAATTTTAAAATCAAATTTGAGAAGGGTTAAAATTAAAAATTGAAAAAAGTACCCTGACCGATCCTAAGTAAACTTCATGGCGAATTCAAATCTGTTTTCAAATTACTTATCGGATTACTGGTTCGGCCTGTGCGATGGACAAAAAATGATGTGTTTTAACTGAAAAAAAACGGCCAGTGTCGAATCCCTTTAAATGTAGATGATATTATTAAAAGATTTGCTAAAGAAAAAAAAAGCATTAGTTTTATATTATAAATATCTGAGTATTGTACTTTACTTAATTATAAGTATGTATTTGATATTTAAACAAACTTGTTGTAGCGATTTTCAATGAAAGTTTATTGGGTCAAAATTAAACTGAATTAATAATGATTAATTAAAAAATAACTAATCAAAATAATTAATATTAATATTTTGTAGACAATTAATAAAAAGTAAAAATCAAAAAAGGTAATTTTATTATACCTACAAAAAACGAAACTTCGCCCCCCCCCCTTGGACAACCCCTGGATCCGCCACTGTGATCTACCAGGTTGTATTTATAAACACTTAAAAATTATAACGTCCACTCGGAATATTGTTAGTTACACACGAACAAACAATTGATAACTATGCTATACGAATCGTGTGCCTCTGGCAAGAACGATCCAATACAAACGATCGGTGACCCCGGACAAGTATTAAAACAACACCTACGCCAGTCACCGAAATCGTGCCGCTTCACGAAGACAATAAATTATCTCATAAATATATAAAAAATAGTATACATATTATTATTATTACTATTATGATAACAAATATTAATTAAATATTTCGTATTCGAGACGGATATATAATAAATATATACTTAAACACGGAAGACATTCTTTTGTTATGCACCGTTGAAAGGATAGCGTCAATCAATATTATCGCACAATAAATCGATGGCATTGAAACGATGTCAAAACCCATCGAGTTGTGTTAACCGACGCGGGTTGTGTCTGGTGAGCTCAACATTATATTATTCGTGAGTTGTGAATAATTGGATGTTGCTCTGACTAAATACGATATTGACGGTTCAGAGCAATACAAAACAAGTAATAACCTATCTATAGAGGTTTCAGCGATAAAAACTAGCGGAAAACGAAAAACCAAGGATTTCTCTCATGACTATACATTAGACATTTTTTACATAGATTACCTCAAACGCTTTATGCTTTAGAGGCCTTATCGAAAGTGAACAGCATTATAAGCGGTCTATACTTATATTATCTATTGCCTACCGTCTTTCTGGCAAGATGTTGTCTGTTATGTTAAATTGCATTCCCACTACGTAGAGTTGATACGACATAGATATAAACTTTAGTGTCCCAAGAGTTATAGGTCTTATGGTAAAATGTTATTATTAATTGTTTCTCATTAATGCAATAAGTATCGATATTGTTTATCTCTCAACTCTCGAGCTTTATCAACTGGTCGCCGGTCGACCATTGGCCGAGTAGTGGAGCGCGGGGTTATTTCTTAACACGCCTATGTTCTACGTCTAAAACAGCCCCGCTGTGTCTTCATAACTAGTTTTATAAGGTTATGTCCGGTGTCGTCGTTAAAAATCTAGTTTGTCGACTAATCCGACGGCGCGGGTAAAAAGAAAACAACAAAAACGATTGCATCGAGCGGACCAAAGATAAGTACGGTAACAGGTAAGTTGTAACATAATAATAATATCGTGTGTGATAATATAATTATTAGTTCTCGTTAGGCAATCGTTGTCCGCGCACATAAAAAGAATAATAATAATATAAACAATAATATGCCTACCAGCTTACGACATAAACTGATAAACACCGGCCTTACATCAAGTGTGAGACTATTTTATTTGCCGGTATGGCGGTGTGTCCCGCGTTTTGTCTAAAGCTTTGTTTTTCCATTATTAATCAACGGTATATAATACGTGTATATAAAAGTGTAATTTTAGAAAACGGTCGCCACTTACAATGAGAAGAGGAGACCGTCGCCAAAGTTGTCAAATATTTCTAAACTTATTCGTCCAAGTAAAAAGTTAGAACCGATCGCAATGACATGTTGTGGTCAATAATTGCGGTAATTTAAGCAAATAGGTAAAATGTTCATACGATTTTTTTTTTACAAAAGAACTTATAATTTTTGTTTAAAAAAAAGAAAAATGTTTTATAATCTAAAGCACTTAAGCAAAAAATAAATAAATAAATAACCAATTAAATTAAATAATAAACCAATTCATTTAAAAATAAATTTTATATTTGCCCCATACACATGATCCAATATTATGAAATTATTGACTATTGTCTTGTATATATCTACCGACTACCAAGCATTGTCATTTACGCTGAGCTTATAACTTTGAATGTAATCTGAGTGCGAAAAATAATATCTTCGCGTACATATCACAGGCAAAATTGGAAAACTAAATTCAAAATTAAAATAAACTGTTTTGTCCAAAGAAATCTGTAGTCCCAAATTTTTTTCGAGGAAAGTAAATTAACATGGTTATGTACGATAAAGTTTTACGTTAAGTGATCTAGACCGATGTTTATTTAACTAATACGTAAACCATTATTTTATTCCGTGAGAAATGTACAGAATAATAGTTTTTTTTTTTAAATGTAGACGTTTCTTATACAGGGTAATTTATTAAAAATAAAACACTCGATATCTCTTAAAATATTTGCAATTTTGTTGTTTTTCTTTTTTAAAACATTTTTATTTATGTTATTTTTCAATATTATAAAGTTACTAAATATTTATCTATTATTAGTATTTCTCAGAACTCTAACAACTTTTGAAGCTTAAATGGTAACGTACGAGAGTAAGGGTGGAGTGTAGTGTTATTTTTATCTGTACGCATTACTGTGCACTCCATCACCAGTCCTAAATTAAAAACTTTTATAATTTTATCCTAAAACTGGTTATCGGTCAGTCAAAATGTTTATTTAATTATTTTTATTATAAATATATACGTTACTATTTATGTTTCAAAAGTTAATAGATGAAAATAAAAATGATAAAAATTTGAATATTGTAAAAAGACATCATGAACTTTTTAGTTTCATGTGTGTCTCCAAAAAGAAAAACTACAAAATTGCAACTATTTTAAGAGAAAATGAGTGCCTCACCCTTAATAGATCACCTTATACGCTACTGGTAATAATATACTCGTATCTATTCATTTCTACCGGCTCTCATACAGTGTATATACTATATTGTGGATATAATGCTTTATATAATTTCCTAGTCGGCTTTTGTGTGGCTCGTGACCTATTTCCGCATTTATGTCTCCAATTACTGGTATTGTACTGTGTCATCGTGTGTTAACATATTATGTGTCTCGTAAAATTCAAACTTCTGCATCCACATCCGTAGCCGGTGAATGACAGTTATTGCTACATTAGTTCTTGGCTTGGAGCTTGGTAATCGGGTTTAATAATAATTTACCAGGAAGTCCGTGCGATAAAATACAATATGTTGTAGGTTTGCTATTTTTGTTCTGTTGATCTTCCCTAACCTAACCTACCTACGCTATAATCGGTTATATTCATAAGTCAGCACTGTAGTGGAGGCAGAGTATATTGGGATGTGGGAAATCACGGGTCTTTGGCAATTATTATAACTAAATTTAATAAAAATCACTGTAAAATAAACGCTTCTATAGCCATAATGTCTTGTAAATGTACTTGGATTGGAGCTGATACGATTAGGGTTAAGCGTCAGTCAGTATAATAATTTATTTCCTGTCGTCACATACATAGTATCCTAGATATGTACGACGGTCTAAAAGTGTATTTCCTAGGGGAGAGGGTTTATGATTATTTTTTGGTTTGTACATTTTTATCGATAGTACTTTATCTTAAGAATATTTCATACAAATATAGAATCAATTTGACTAATTTTTTTTAAAAAGTCTTATGGTGCCGTGATTTTAAGTTGATGAATATGTTTTTGTGAACATTTTTTGGGGTTTTCTCAATTTTGAATGGGGTTACATTTTTTAAAGTTTTGGCCAATTTTTTCTTATGTATAGATCTACAGAGTTGCTACATGAAGAAATCGGTTCAGCGGTTAAAATATATCGTAGATCTAATAAAAAAATTGAATGAAAATACATCATAGTAATAACTACCTTTTCAGCCACGCATCGAAGCTACAAAAGTAATTGGTTTTTAAAACGTAGTCAGTCAAAAATCCTTAAAA